GGATTTTCCTCCATGATGAATAATATCCTGGCGATGCTACGGAGATTATCATGCCAGCAAGTGAAATGAGTAAGAAATCGCAGGAGTGTTCTCGATGTTGGCCACTCGCGTATATTCAATCCATTCAGCATCGAAAAAGTAACCATGGCGCCGGATTGCAGTGATGCGTGTGATCACCCCAAGCCAAGAAATTCGTGGGGATTTCGCAGCGAAACTCTCCGAGACGAGGAACATCATGATTCCGAGGCGTTGAATTCAAGAAAAATAAATAATAATTTAAAATATATATAAATAATAATTGCAAAAAAATAATAAAGAGGAAATTACCATTTCGGCTCGATGACGAGCCACGTCAAGGAACAATAGACTCGTTAATCGAGACTCGCGCCGGCGGCGGGTGGGCCGGACGCAGTCCGCTCGGCCTTCTGCTCGTCGGTGGCGTTCGTGTCGTCGTCGAACTTCCCGTCGAGTTCGTCGTCCTGGCGGAAGAGGAGGTCCTTGGCCTGGTCCATGTCGTCGCTTCGGCCGTTGGAGACCCAGTCCAGCATCCGGAAGTAATCCACGTGCCGGATGCACTGCCACTTCACGTCGTCGAGGGTCGACTGCTTCCGCTTGCCGTCCTCGGGCGTCTCCTCCTCGGAGTCGGAGAAGGTGACGACGTCGTTGAGGATGTCGTCCAGGAAGTCCACGGCGTTCTTCTTCTGGAGGCGTTGGAGGACCTCCTCCGGGTCGACCTCCTCCGTGATGAGACCTTCCGTCCAGTTGACCTTCCGTTCCGCGGGGACCTCCGCGGGGACCTCCGCCTTCAGTCTCCGCGCCGCGTTCCCGTCCCTCGATCCCTTGGGCTTGGCGTTGGGCGGGACGGCGTTCTTCGGTCGCCGCTCCCGGGGGCCTTTCGTCTTCCCGCCTTTGGTCGACATTTCCTGGCGGGAAAAATACCAGCAATTTTTTTTTTAAGCAGTGAGAGCACACACAATTAAACGATAATCTTAGGATCTATTCAGGTCATCATCTCGCGCCAGACGATTCCGAGGGAATCCGCCAGAACTCACGAGATGCTCGGCAGAGACGGATGACCCGCAATTCGCCTCACTCCGCGAGGAATGTCCAACTGAGGCGTCATTATCCCCGAGTGTATGCACGGGAAACAGACGCGAGCGAATCGATTTCCCGCGGTTGCCGGGCGAGCCGGCGCTCCCCACCGACTCGGCGCAACCAAGCAACCGAAGCCCTCGTTTGTTCTTAATCGGAAACCGATACTTTCGCGGAAAAGCCCTTCGATGACCTTCGGCCATCGCCTTCCCCGGAACAAAAGTTCTTTCGAGTGAGGACGATTTGCTTCTGATTGTATGAATGCCGTGCTAATTGCGAGCGGTGAATAATTTTCTCAGGGGAGGGTCCTCTCAAGGAATTGCAAAAATTGTTTCACAGGCGCGGAAATCACGAACGAAACGAAAACTGCGAGGAAACATTTTTATTTCATTTTTTAAATGCTTTTTCTTGGTCTTCATTTATTCTTTGTCTTTATTTATTATTATGCCATGTTTGTCCGAATTCTTTGATATTACCTGGTAACTTCCCCTCCCGCCCCCATTCTTTATCAGCTTCGGGTGCGTCCTGTCCAGTTCTGTGCATTTCCTGACTTTTTTTTCCTTTCTCACCACCTTCTGCCTCTTTATGAGAGTCAGTACATGTGTATTTATTGATATCACGACGAACTCAACGGGCCAAATGGTCTTG